CATCTTCATGGGGGCACGGAGGCTGGGCTCTCCCACACCCCCACCGTGGTGATGTCACTCCCTCCCCTTTCAGTAGGGCCTTATCACTTTGGATTTTAGTTAATTAGCTTTCTCTGAGCACTCAGCTCTGGGCTGAGCTTTTAACAAACTATGATCTATGAATTATCCAGCTCGCTCTCTTTTTCAGGAAAAGAGCAATTCTTTTTGTAACGTTTTACATCCTAAACAGAAGTAGAAGTTCACTCCTGTCCTTTTTCAAACCTCATATGTTGGAGGGTATTATTATTACTGTCATCAATTTCATGGTATTTACTAGAATTCTACCTTGGCTCTGAGGCCACCTTCTGTCTGTGTTAAACTCTTTCTTCATAGTGCATGTCCTCTAGAACTTCCTTAGAGGTAGATATATTGGTGGTGAGTCATTTCAGTCTTTATGTGTGAATCTGTAAATGTTATCCTTATTCTGGAAAGAAAGCATGTCTGAGAACACAATTCCATCCCAGCAGGTATTTTCTCACAGTCCATCTTCTTTGACTTTCACTTTACTGCCATAGCTTATCATTTATTTTTTTTTATTTTAATTTTTAATTTTAAGTTTTTATTTATTTACTTTGAAAGAAACAGAGTGAGCGTGAGCCTGGGAGGAGCAGAGAGAGAAAGAATCCCAAGCAGGCTCAGCCGAGTCAGTACAGAGCCTGATGTGGGATTCGAACCACAAACCGTGAGATCATGACCTGTGCCAAAATTAAGAGTCAGAGGCTTAATTTCATTTTAAGTGTTTTGTCCTTTTTTTCCCAACGTTTTTATGATCTACCATTTGTTTTGTTTTATAACTTAATGTGAATCTCTTTTATATTATCAGTTAGGAGTGCTTTTTTATCTTGAATCTGTGGATTTGTATTTTTTCCATCATTTCCAGAGAATCTCTTTAAGACTTCCTCCTCTTATTCCTCTCTTGTCTCGGCTTTTAATTTAATAAATGTGAGACCTTGTGTATCAGTACTAAGTTCTGGGTAAAAAAATTGGATGTATCTATTCATTCATTAATTCTCTTGTCACTTGTGTCTAATAATTGGTCATTAATACCTTCATTTATTTTTTCAAAAAAGTTTTTTTTCACTTCTAGAAGTTTCTATTTTTCAAAACTGTCCACTTATTCTATCATCTATATTACCTCCTTGTTGCTCGTACAGCTTTGTGATAGTAGGTTTTATTTCTTTAAACAATGTGATACATAGATGTTTAATTATTTGTCACATTGGTCATGCCAATACTTTTAGTCCTTGAGGGCCCAAATATGTTGTTTACTTCATTCACTTTTGCTCATGGTGCCTTACCTTGCTGATCATGTCATGGAGAAGTCATTGGTTGTCCTTAGTCCACCGGTATCCTATGGATCTAAGTTGAGAATGTGTCTCTGTTACCATCCAAAGCTACCACCATGAAACCTCCTCCATGATCTTCTCAGTGCAGGAGCTGCAGGCTTAACAAACTGCCACTGCTGCTATTCCAGGAGTGAGGACCGCCGTCAGCACTGCTGATAGTAGTACCGACCTTCTAGAAACCCCACCCCAGCCAGCCGGCCAGTGCAGAGCCCCACTGCTCAAGCTTCAGTTCGAAGACTTGTTTTTCCTGAAGGAGCGAGTGGTCCAGGACACTGGCCTACCACTTCCAAGAATAGTGGTGTTTCAGAGATACTGCGATCCATTTGTTTCACGACGGCAGTCACTTGAGAGTGTCTAATTTGCAACTGTGGCCAAAAGCCTGAATCGTCCTCTCAATCTCATCATATTTGTTCTGCATCTTCCAGGAACTTCTGTTTCTGATGTACTGATGGTACTCTGTGCCTTGGGGCACTCCTACAGATTCTTTCAAAATGCAACCCACATAATTCCAATAGCATCTGGGGAGGAATAGAAGGAGAGCAAAACCAGTATGCTCAAGTCACCACTGACCTCTTATCCCTGATGGTGTTGTCCACAAATTTCAGAACTCTATTTGTAGCAGGATTCTCATGAGACACCAAGGCCTTTCCTTCCAGGAAGCAGCTTTATTCGTGCTAGCACAGGCTCAGTGGGCTAAGAATCAAAAGGCTGAGCCCCGAATACAGCGGGGTGTAGCCTTTTATACAATTTCTACTTCTTTGTCTCCCGCACATGGTAACATACAGACACGCTATCTGATTGGGCGGTCTACGTCACAGGGTCGTGAGGAATGTCACATACACACATACAGTCTGGATGGACACAGGCAAAGTTACTGAGTTGTGTCAGAGCTATGGATACGTGTATAAGAGTTGATTGGGCTACGTTGCCTTCCTTTGTTTTGAGAAGGCCTCCACCACATTCCTGAGGAAGGGGCTGTTCCCCTACCACATATCAATACACTATCAACAGTGGACATTCTTCTTTCCCTCCTGATTTTCATGGGACTAAGGCTAGTATTTTACTATGAAGTGCTATATGGATATTTTTTATGTTCAGATGAATTGAAATTTGGTTAAGGTAATATTCTTCTCTTCCTATTTTTAAAATAATGTTTATCAGAAATCAATGTTGATTTTCTTTTCAATTCTCTCCTCCCAAATACATATTTAAATTACTCGATCCAGTGGGTATATTGTGTATGTCATTCTGCTATAGTAAACAGGTAAATTATCACCAAATTTTAATCTAAAAATACTGTCTTACCATTCTTAGCTAGGAATGGCCTCAATAGGCAAATATAAATAAAAGTAATATGACAACTGAAAAATTCTTATTTGATGGGATCTATTCATTATTGAGTGGACCTTCAGTTACATCATGGGTGGGAAATCCTTGACACTATGCAAATTCTCAATACAGAGGTGAAACCAATTGGAGCTATTAACTGTCTTCTCCTACCTCTTCCTTAGGTGGCTTTTCTACTGGACAGTGATTTTGAGGGTTGTACTGCCAGGTCATCAGCTCTACCATTAGAGAGTTTCCTATTAAATTAACTTGGCTCTAATGTGAGTCATCTGGAGAAAAGAATGGCCTGGACATGATGACAAATTTTCAGCTTTTTAGAGTCAACTGGTGTGTGTAGAATAGACGAGTACCACCACAGATCCACACGATCTGTTTTCCTGAAACTTCACCTCACCCCCGAGCTAAACAGATAGGAGAAAGAAGGAGATGGGAACGGTAAAAAAACAACATTTGAAATTCTTTTTAATGTTTATTTATTTTTGAGAGAGACAGGGACAGAGTGTTAGTGGGGGAGGAGCAGAGACAAAGGGAGACAGAATCCAGAGCAGGTTCCAGGCTCTGAGCTATCAGCACAGAGCCCGACGAGGGGCTTGAACTCACACACTGTGAGATCATAATCTGAGCTGAAGTCGGACACTTAACCAACTGAGCCACACAGGTGCCCCAAGTAAAAAACAACATTTTAAAAGGAGAATGCGCATACAGATTCTTAAGGCAGCTGTTGCATCAGGTCCAGGAACCTGCAAGCTTACTCTGGCCTGTGAACCACACATGATCTTCAGTCTGTCTTATCTCATCTCATTTCTTACCAAACCTTTTTTTTTTTTTTTTTCCATAGTGCTCCACCTACACAGGTCTTTCTGTTTTTCCAATACACTAAGGAAGGGACCTAGCTATTCTGTATGCTTAACATGCCCTCACACGAATACGTGCTTGGCTTCTTCACACCCATCATTCAGACCTCAGTTCAAATGCAACATCCTCAGAAAGCCTCTCTCCGTCCGTTCCATTAACTGCATCCTCCAGACGATATCTGGTCAGTTACTGTATTATTTTGTTCTAAACACCGCTTTCCTAAATTAGCTTAGCAACCTAATTTTGCATGGTCAGATTTTATTCACTGAAGTTAAGTCCTGTAAGAATAAGAAACATTTCTTCCATTGTCACTGTTCTGTTGCTAGTGCAAAGAAAAATATCTGGTGACCGGAAGATGCTCAGCAAATATTTGTCGAAGATCCATATAAAGGAGCAACAACGAAGGAATCAGTGTGTTTAGAACATATATGTGAAAGGGAAATGAAATGGGGTCACTTATGTTAAGGGGTTTTAAAATGGAGCCGGGAGGCCCTTTAAGAGGTGGGCCGCATGCACGCCCTCACCTGCGGAGCCATAAACTTTTGATCTGGGCCAATCGCAAATATTCCACGGACTCAGCCCGAACACCTGGCTACAGAACGAGATTTTGCTTAGTGATGGCCTTAGCAACCAGCCATATTCAGTCAAGATCAGCTTTGCTGCTGCCAACACCGATAGAAAATTCTTCGTGAACGACGTATATAATGCATTCCCTCTTTGCTTTGAGAACCTTTTTGCTCTAGGCGCACCCGGGTGGCTCAGTCAGTGGGGCGTCTGACTCTTGATTTTGGCTCAGGTCATGATCTCACAGTGTGTGGGTTTGAGCCCCACATCGAACTCTGTGCTGACAGTGCAGAGCCTGCTTCAGATTCTCTGTCTCCCTTTCTCTCTGCCCCTACCCCACTTGTGCACTCTCTTATGCTCTCTCTCTCTCAAAATAAACAAACATTAAAAAAATTAAAACAAAAAAAAAACCTTTTTGCTTTAAGAACTTTTGCTTCCTAGTAGGACACTCTCTGAGTTGCCACTCAAATCTGTGTACCCCAAACTGCAATTCTCTGATCCCATATAAACTCTCTTGCTTAATTTTTGCCTCCTCACAATTTTATGTTGACATGTATTTTTGTCCACCCCCTTGTTCCAGTTTGACATTTACCAAAGTTCTTACTGAAGCAAAAATTAGCAATGCCAGGAATTTATGAGAGAAGGGGGGAGGGGGTTGTTAACATTTGGGCTGTTGGGTAGAAAAGGACAGTGAAGGTGATGGGACAACTGAATAGGTCCTCTGTCCAGCTTCTCTTCTGCACACAGAACTGGTCCCGCCAGAATACGTCCACCCTCACACGTGACAGGGCTCAGGGTCTTACGCTCCACTCGTGAACTAATTATTGCACTGCCTCTCTTCTTCTGCAGTAAGAAGTGGAATGGCTTCTGCTGAAAACCATTGTCTAAATCTGTCTGGCATTTGCAGAAGAGACATCTGCAAAATCACAGAGGATCAGACTGGAGCCTGTAAAGGAAGATGGAAGTGCTGTAGGTCTTGGTGGATTCTGGTTCCAATTCCAACCCCACTTATCTATTCAGATTATCAAGCACCCCTCAAGCATAAGTTGAAATGAAACTAGGGAAAGCATCAGAAGGAAAGTTTCTGCATCTAAAACACGGGAATATACATAAACGCTTCCAGCTTTATTACCAATTCCTATTATCCCTTGTCAATAAAAACAAATAAATATGGGTTTCAAATCTCCAGATACTACTTCTTTGTGACTCATCTTCAGATTCACACAATCTCTTTAAAAGTGAGAAAGCCAGGGTGCCTGGGTGGCTCAGTTGGTTGAACGCCCAACTTCTGCTCAGGTCATGATCTCATGGTTCGTGGGTTCAAGCCCCGCATCGGGCTCTGTGCTGACAGCTCAGAACCTGGAGCCTGCTTCAGATTCTCTGTCTCTCTCTCTCTCTGCCCCTCCCCTGCTCATGCTCTCTCTCTCTCTCTCAAAAATAAACATAAAAATTTTTTTTAAGATTTTAAGTGAGAAAGCCCATTTATGTAACAAAAATGTTTTTTGAATTTGTCACAAAAGACCAAAAGGTTAACAAAACCTGAAGATACAGTTATACAAAATGTAATTAGACACACAGAGACTACAAAGAAAATGCACAGGCAAAATACAGAGGAAATACAGCAAATAACAGGGGTGGGAAGAGCTGTGGCTTGGGCAAAGGTGGAAAATTGGAATGGGGCAGGAGAAAATCATTTTGGGATAATACACAAAGATTTTCACTATATGGCAGATAATTGGAAGGATATGAAAACAAGAAAGGAGAGAGAATGAGAGCTTGAAGATCAACAAAAATGTGTATTATGTACACTAAAAGGTAAAACCTCAACCAACAAAGAGACATTTATGCTTCCCTCCTGTCAAGAAACATCATGATCATTTAGAGTCTCCAGCTATTACTCCTTAAGATAAATAACTCCTTTTCATAGGACCTAAACATTTTATTGTAAAAATATAGTGACCTCTTTTGAGAGTGTGCTGTCAGTATCCCTTTCTAAATAGACATTCTAATACTGCATAACTTAAAAAAAATTTTTTTTAAATGTTTATTTTTTGAGAGAAAGACAGGGCATGAATGGGGGAGGAGTAAAGAGAGAGGGAGACACAGAATCTGAAGCAGACTCCAGGCTCTGAGCTGTCAGCACACAGCCCAATGAGGGACTCGAACTCAAGAGCTGTGAGAGCATCACCTGAGCTGAAGTCGGACGCTGAACTGACTGAGTCACCCAGGCACCCCCTGATGCTGCATACCTTCTGACTATAAATTCGTCTTCATCTCGAGTGTCATGAGGTCTCACCTTCCTGTCCCGAGTGTCGGAAGACGTCAGCCCAATTACATAACTCAAAGCAGATTCTCAGGAGGAGTTTTCCTTTTCACTCATGTAGAAAATTTTGATAACTAAATAGATATGGTTTGGTAGTAGGACCCCCCTTCTTTCTTCTTTAATGCAGTATTTATGAAGTCTTCTTTGGTTTTGTTTTTTCATTGGTGGAGTGTGGACGTTTTCCACAATCATTTGGTATAGTCTTGACTCACGTTATGGCCAACTTGACCTTAAAACATTGGAGACATAACACAGGTTATCTGTTCACTGTGTAAACAGGGACAGACCCTGATTCTCTTTCTCTCTTCCTCCTTCCCTCCTCTCCACCATTCAGGGATGAACTGGATAAGCACCACACCTGAGTTGCATTTATTTTACAAAGACTAGGCCTTTTTGGGGGGTGATATGATAAACAGCCTCTCAGCCAAGTCAATATAATCCTATGTTACTTATCCATACCTAGACTCCACCAAATAGGGTGCACAATATTTGTTCCTCAACTAGACTAATTTCCTGTGAGTGTTCCACAGCCTAAGAGATTAGAAGACACCCTTAATCTGACTTAATTCACTTAAAACAGTATGGCACCCGTTATTTACACTTCGGAAGTGGCATTCTAGAGACGACCCAAACTACCTGTTACCCTGATTTATCCTAGAACCATTACATCTCATATAACTAAGGAAAAAACCCGAGAGACTTAATGAGATGGAATCTTAATGAGATGGAGTCATAATTTTGGGGGGAGGAGGATTACGAGAGAAAGATAAAACCCTTACAGATACACGGGAAAGAGTTCACAACCTTGTAAGAACAATAGGCTTTGGCCGCATCACAACTGCCATCAATGCGAGATGATCAGACTCTGTAGTCCTGAGGAAAGAAACCTGGAGGCCGGCTCCAGAAAGCTGCTGGACAGACTGATATATTCGGCCCACCTTTCACCTAGTTCTCTCTTGCTGATGAAAGAATAATCTCCTAAGTCATGAGTATCTCCCTATAAGTATCTTTTAATTAGTCGTGTACAGTAATAACATCTTCTGTCTCTTGGTATGTTTTAAATCATTTTAATCGAAACATTCTTCTGATATTAAACTTACACCAGGCCTCCACATCCTGTCTAAACCTTTCTGATTGTTGAACATGCCCCACCTGGCTTAGCAAGTCAATATGTTGACTAACTTCCATGAGACAGAGGGTGTGTGTATGTTGCATGTTTCCAAGTACGTTCAGGCTCTAAATACTGGACTAGGAATATTGAACTATAAGGGATCATTATAAATAGTTCAGGAAGTACGACAGCAGAGCAAGAGGTCCCAGATCTTGTCTTTCGACAGAAACACTGATTGAAACATCAGCCATGGATGAAAATACCTTTCTGAGAGCTCTGGAGCCCCAATGAGACATTGTAGCATGCCACTGTTGTACAAAATGTGACAACAGCCATATGGAAAAGGGTAAGGAGAGTTCTGCTTTACCTGTCACCTGTCACCCCTGCTCCAAGGTGCCAGAGCTCAGCATGGAGAGAGATGCCCTCAGCCTCTGATTTCTCTCGTAGGGGAGGTAGTCCAGGGGGCAACAGCTTCCCAGTGCTTTGGGGCACTGCCTGACAGGTCCGTTTATGTCTCGACCCACCCAGCATGCTGAGGGGATCTACACATCACCCAGGGGCACATGAGGACAAGGAGAAGTTGCAGGACTCACAGCCACCAACACTTGGATCTCAATAACCAGCCTGCAGATCACACTCTCCAGCCCATTCATGA